ACTTTCATGTCACCTTTCTGTCCCCAGCTCCTTTTTCTTCTTCCTGCAAAGGCAAAAACCAGAGTGACCATTCTAAATCTCCAGATTTTCAGTGGATGACTAGTTCAAGATCAAGCATGACTGTCACACAGAAAACAAACAGAAAGTAAAGAGCAAGAGGAGAACAAGTGGGCAGAGCCAGAAATCCCACCCAGAGATGGTGAAGGCCACATTCATGGCCAGCACTGACCTCGGGGGCCTGGAGGACCAATGCACAGACTGCTCTGTCACATTGGTTGGTACCTGCGGGGAAAGGGAGAGAAACAGAGAAGGATGTGGGAATGGAGGGCATCAGCTCTGCTGTCAGGACCAAGACCTCTCCCCCGCCCAGGAGGCAGCGCCCACTGACATCGGAAACATTCTCAGTCTGTGTATAAATGCTGTTTTCATTCTTTTCCTGGGCTTCTTTTCCTTTTTCTTGTTTCTCTTTTCATCTTTCTTTGGAGAGAAGCAACAAGTAAATRTTTTGATGGAAATTGAATGAAAAATAAAAGTTAAAACAGCCTACACCATCTCAGAGTCTGCTTGGAAGATCCCTCCGTGCCCTGAGCTCCGTTTCCTGCCACTAAGGTCTCTAGGTGTCCTTCCCACCTGACTTCTTTGCCATCTGGCTCTTGGCTGGGTCCCAGAAGCTCAGGGAAACGGGGCCGGGCAACGGCTCATCAGCGCCATCTAGTGGTCTGTGTCCTTAACCCACTCGTGAACAGCCCAACCTCACTGTGAACTTTTTTATTTTTCCCCTCTGATGGGCTATCATTTTTTTAATTTATTTTTTGTTTGTTCTAATTAGTTATACATGACAGCCACTATTCAACTACCTTATATGCATCCCTCATAGCATTATATTTCTATTGTCAAATGAGTGGTTGTATTTGTGATTATGATTTTTTTTGCCTGTATTATGATGGAATTCATATACCTTGCACTTCACTCATATAAAGTAAGCATTTTAATGGGTTTTAGTGTATTCAGAGCTGTACAACCATCACCACAGTTTGGAAATATTCTTATCAACCAAAAAGAAACTCCTTACTAATTATCAGTCACTCCCCAAGCCCACCCCACCCCACCCTGCCCCCAGGTAACCAATGATCTACTTTCTGTCTAGGGATTTACTTTTCTGGTACACCGTCTCCTGCATAAGGGGATCACACAATAGTTAGCCCTTCTTGCCTGGCTTATTTCACTCGGCACAATGTGTCCAAGGCCCATCCACGTTGTAGCAAGTGTCAGAACTTCATTCCTTTTCATGCCAAGCCCTTCATCCCACTGGATGCCCAATAATATCTCATTACATGGACGATCCACATTTGGTCCATTTGTCTGCTGAGGGACATTTGGGTCGTCCCTTCTTTCCCCATTGACTTATCTTGGCACCCTTGCTGAAAGCCAATTGATCATAAATATGAGGCTTTATTTTCAGATCTTCAATTCTATTTAATTCATTGCCTTTTATCTACGCGCCCCCTTACTCAAAGTTGCTCTCTCTCTCAGCCTTCTTGGTTGTGAACACAGGATTCTCTGCGGTCTCTCAGACTTTATGTGAGCTGAGTCCTATCCAGAGGGTTTCTGAAAACACCCCTCCCTCGTTGCAGTGTCCACCTGATAGGAGGCATGTCACCTGGGAGCTGCGCTACTTTGGGCTGGTGATGTTTCATCCTGTGCTGAGGGACGTTTTGGCTGGAGAGGTACCCCCTCTCCTGCATAAGGACACGCATGCTGCGTGCAGTTCTCGTTGGACAGACGAGAAAGTCAGTCAGTTCTGATTCTCACCTTTGCTTGGTTGGGGCCCAGAGGTCAAGGACAGTGCAGGAGTGGAGTTGGCTATGGCCAGTAGTGTTTGAGGAACAGGARCAAGTGATGAAGAGACCCACACCTGGTGCCCTCCAGCACGGCACTGAGCCTGCAGAGGCAGGCGGACCCTACCGTGTCAGCCCAGGGAGGCCAGGTGAGCAGCTGGGTTTTTCCCAAGTTCTCAAGAGAATTTAAAACAAGCAGTGACAGGATCTAACCCACCTTCTAAAGACATCTGGCTGCTGTGTTGAGAGTGAGTGGAGGGCTCTGAGTCGGTTCACCTCCTGTCTGTCAAACAGACTTGCTGATGCTCCGTCCTAAGGCAGGTAACCTGCCGGKCAGCCTCTGAAAGTGGGCACAATGGCCCCTCTTGGCCAGGACAATGTAGGACAGTTCCTTCCTTTCTGTTGGAAGGGAGTGACACTTCCCAGGGACGCTCAGACTTACCTCATGCTGGACCCTGTGATATTTTCAGGCCCAGAGCATCAGGCCAGGACCCAAGAGAAGCCCTGCATTTCACAGACCTTTGATCTCTAGAGGACACAGAACTCAGGCCCAAACAAACGGGCTTTGGTCATGAGTGGACCAGACATTAGGGCTGCCTTGGCCTCTCCTGATCCCCAAGCCCATGCATGTGCTCACAGGGATGGGACACCTTTGGCTCTCTCATCCCCTGCATGCTCATGCTCTCCTGTCTCCTGTAGAGTGGTGTCTGCTAGCAACTGTTGGCTCCATGAGAGAGTCCGTGTCCAGCACCTTCCACCTCTCTGTATCCCCGTGGTACCCCTGGGAGCACCTGCATATGTCTGGTGCTAAGGGCGGAGTGTCGGGTTGGCCTCAGACGCCACACCAGTTTGTCTACCTTATGTTTTAGGCAGCCATCGATCGAGCTCCACAGACTTGCTTTTCTCTTTTAGTCAAAAGAGAAACATGATGATCATATTTTTATTTTTATTTTTTTTTAGAAAAAAATTAACTTGGGAAAGGGGAATACAAGAGGATTTGGGTCCACTGTGTGCCGGGCAGTTAGATCYAAAATCTCAACTGTCCTGCAGTACATGCCACAGGTGTCACTCCAGGGGCATATGTCAGCCTAGCACTAGAGACAGACAAGACTGCAGGATCTTGGAGCTGCCGGCTCCGGGGTCCATGCTTTTCCTACACAACAGAGGGGCACAAAGATCTACTTCCAGACCATGGAATGGTGTGCATCATTAAAAAGAAATGAGCTGTCAAGCCACGGGGAGACATGGAAGCAACTTCAGTGTTCAGCCTGACTTGAAAGAAGGCAGTCTGACTTGGCGTGCGTGCGATTCCAGCCCCATGACCTGGGGAGCGGCATAGCATGGAGACAGCCCGCAGACCAGAGGTTGCCAGGGTGGGCGGGGTGGGACCCATAAGCAGAGCACACAGGCTCTGCCAGATAGTGACATGGCAAACGAGTGTCACTGTGCTTGTATACAACAGTGTAGCATGCACAGTACCCAGAGGGAACCCGAATGTCATCTGCAGACGTTGGGTTAGAGTGATGTGCCCATGTGGCACATTGATAATGGGGGAGGCTGTGTGTTTGGGGCAGGGTAAAAGTGGGAGATCTCTGGACTTTTTACTCAATTTTATGGGAACCTTAATCTTTAAAATTAAAATCTATTAAAAACTACATAGAAACCCAGAAGGGAGAATTGGTTTGGAGAAGACACTTATTTTTCTCTGAACCTGGAGATCTTCGCATCGTGGATCGGTGTTCTCTGCTCCACCTCACTCTGAGCATTGGCCTCTGGTCCTGGCCGACTGAGCAGACGCAGCCTGTRGGCAGTCTTGCACCTCACCAGGACTATGCCTCTGTGTTCAAAGGACTTAACCCTGTACCAGGTGATGAGTTCACGGATGCCTTCAGGTGATCATCAGTCAGAACAGRAAGGTCGGGCACGTTGTGAGTCTGTAATCCCCCAGTCCACCAAGGTTCTGGGTAAGACGCTGGCTGTCCCCTGGTGACCAGCTAGACTCTGATTTAGGAGACAGACCCACCCTTTTTTTGTTGTAGGAAAAAAGGGACAGATTAACACCAGGTCTGCCCTGTTATTTTAGACCCTGAAACTCCATCTTTTATCATTTTTAGTGAGCTATTTTATATTATAAAGTCATGATGTTTTTAATGTATGATTTTTTAGGTGTCTACCTTCCCATGGGTGGAGGTGAGTGAGAGAGCGTGARGAAGCACCCAGGCAGGGGAATCCTTGAAACCACCTGGAGACCTTCCCCCAGGTGGCTGCAGCTCCACCAAGCGGAGAGGTTGCCGGCCTCCCTCCTCCAGGTGCACATCCAGCTCCTGGGACTTTTGCTGGCAGCTCCCATGGGCTGCACAGGKCTCTGGGGGTCCCACTGCCTGGGGTGCACTCTGCTCACTTGGCCAGGGAACATGTAGGGCCAGSGAGAACTGCCTCCCCTGAGTACCGCTGCATGAACAGGTGGAGTCATCCCACAGGTGCAGCCAGGTAAGGCCACGTGTACCACCTGGAGCCTGTCTTGGGAGCAGGGAGGAGGGCCATGAGGGAAGACCAGGCTCGTGGCAGGTCCCTCATTTGGAGGCCATGGAGAGAAGGGGGCAGGGAGCCAGAAAGACAGAGCCCATGACCAAGGCCAGGGCTGTCCTTAATGTCATCAGTCACAGGCAGGTCTATGTGTTTCGTTTGCTTTCTTTCCTTCTAGAGCACTCCAGTGCTGGAGCTGGTGGGAAGAAACCCCACAGCGCTGCGGGACTTTAGGCATTCCTAAGTGGTTCATCACAGAGGGCTTCTGCGGGCTGCTGTTGTTTCTGTCTGTACCTCCCACGTCTTCCTGCCTCTGCCCCTCACACAGGGTGCAGAGGACAGGGAGCAGAGGCACAGAACCATCCTGTCAYAGGAATAACCTGAGTCACATGCTTTGCAGACCGGCTCATGAGCTTGGTTTCTGTCTTATTAAAATAATTGAGTTTTGAAAATGCAGTATCTAAGCAAGATGCAGGAGAAAGTGCGTTTCTAGATCCACCACCTCCTACTATTAGGCTCCAGCTGACGTGGGTGGTGATCCAGGGTTGGATAACAGCCTTCCCAGAGCTTTGGAAAGATCAAAAGCCCAGAAGCAGCACATATTTTGAATGTGCCCATCAACTTTGACAGGCCTCCTGTCTTCTGGCGCTGCTGCTGCTGCTGGAGGGCGRCATGTTCTCCTCTCCACCCTCCCGGCTGCTGGAGGAGCTCTGCCAGCACATCGACCTCCACCAGGATGAATCTGTGCAGGTAGGAGAAGCTGTGCTTCAGTGCGTCAGTCACGCCCTCTGGGACCTTTTGTGCCAACAACTTGGCTCCATTGAAAATGCCTGTGACCCTGGGTTGAATTAGGATAACCACGGTCCATCAGGTCTGCGGAAGAGCTCCCTCCTGGCCACTGCTCCTGGAAAGGGCACTCTGTCCATCCCTGGTGCACTCATTTCAGCTGCCCCTGTAGAGGTGACCAGCAACTCTGTAGGGCTCTCTTGCTTTGGCCCCTCAGGTGGCCCACTAGCAGTGCCACGTGGCCCCTGGCGAGGTCCAGACGGAGCTGGGGCCCAGAGAGCCCGGGACAGTTGCTGTCAGCATGGTCTGTGGTCCAGGGAGCACTTGGTCTCCTCTCTTTTCACCTTCCTTCCTGCTTACTTCCCACACAGCTGTGGGCACCTGGCGCAGGCATATGAAGAAGGGGAGGAAGGAGGATGAGGAGGAAGGGAGAGAGGCGGCCAGGGAGCAGAAGAGGGAGGGACGAGTGGGTGACAAGGTGCAGGCGCCTGTGGTGCCCACCCTCTCACTGGGTTGCTTCCCTCTCCCTTCCCTCTGTAAGAGTAAAAGAAATTGAAGTTAAAGTGTAAAAGACCGGGCATTGTAAAGTTTCCAAGCTGCAGGGCCTGAGTTAAAAAGTGAAGGACCAGGTATTGTTAAATTCCTCTGTTAGGACAATACCCGAACTGCCCAGTAAATATTCCTCCTGATCCTCTGACTGTTTAATAACTAAGGGCTCTGAGTAGCCCGGCATCCAGGCCCCAAAACCAATCAGTTTGAATGTGTACCCCACTTAGAAGTGACCAATCACCCCTGCCCAGCCTGTTCCTGCCAATGAATGTACTAATCATGTCTAAGAGTTGTTGTTTGATTTTCCCGCGCCTCGTGATGATTTGCCCTGATGTATGCAAAGCTTCCGCCCTCCCCAAAAAGTGTACTTAAGCACTGCTCAACCCCTGCCCGGGGCTCTGGGCTGCTCTCCTTTCTTGAGTGGGCACGGAGCCCCAGCATGCTGGTTCAATAAATCCCCTTCTGCCAATTGCATGAGTGGTCTCTTGGTGGTCTCTTTCTCCGACGCTTTGCCGGACCCTYACACCTCTACTCTGCCTCTTGTGCCCTCCCTGGGCATCTGGTTAAGGAACCACTTCTGTGGCCACCAACCTTGCCTTCTTTGGCAAGAGAGGGGCTTACCCTGCTCCTCACAGGCCTCCCCAAATGAGTGCTGTTGTTTGTGCTCACCAGCCGGGGGTCCCCCACCCTGTGTCTGGCACATGCATGATAGGTGTTCATTGGATCAGCCAAAGCGGGGAACATTATCATGCAAACAGATGTGAAACCTTCCTGTTTCATGCTAATGGCACAAAACTGAATGTCCAGACCCCTCTTCCTGAGCTTGACCTTCGCATCATCCTTCTTTCTACAGGAATATAAACCTGCAGAAAGCCTGCTCGGATCTTCAGAACCCCAGCGGGGTTTCCAGAGTAGGTTGAAATTAACAGGGCTGGAGGCTGACTTGGGCTTTTGGCCACATTTCGTCCTGGCCTCCTCCAACACACTGAGGCCCACTCAGGGTGGAGAACCCCACAGCACCTGCTGAGGTTGCAGGTGAAAAATACAGAACACAGTTTTCCTTAAATAAGTTCCTTAAAATAAGAGTGAAAGGGCACCCTCCAGGAAAGAGGGATCAAACTAAAATAAATTAGGAAGTAGAGTCGAGAGTAAGTGGAGTCAAGATCAACTAGTCAAAATAGAACAATGCTGTCCCAGGATAAGCAGTTGGGTTCCAGCAGGGAATGTGACACATCTTCACTAACGGCTCCATATTAGCTGGTGCTTACTGAATAGGGCAGCTGGTCCTCTCACAGTGTGACAGCTCGTGGCTATCGTCTCTCATGGTTAGGGAGCACCACCCTATGGGACAGATGAGAAAACTGAGCCTGAAAGAAGAAGGGTTGTCAGAGCCCCGAGACTGGCACAGGCGGAGGTGGAGCCGGCCACTGCCTCCCACCCTGGACCTCCACTGTGCCCCCTCGTGCTGTGTCCTAACCAGCGCCTCTGGCCTCTGGGTCTTGACTAAACCCGAGTGTGTCTGTCAGTTGCCTCTGAGTGTCACAGTGTCACAGTGCACAGGACTTCGACAGAAGAGCTGGGGACTAGTCAGTCCCTGCCCTTGAATCGCTTTCCCCCAAGGGGAAGTGGGATCCCCCCATGCTAATGCCCTCCTGACTCTCCTCACAGAAGCTGAAGGAGTGGGTGGCGGTGGAGAGCGATTCCATCCAACCAGTGCTTCATGTCAGACAAGAGCTCTTCCGGATGATGCCTCGGCTGCAGACAAGCCCCAGCGCCTGGGAGCCAGCGTGGAACCCAGGGACCTGGGCTCGCAGCAGGTGCCGGCGGGTTGCCCTCCAGGGAAGGCACCACTTCTGTGGCCACCGAYCTTGCCTTCTTTGGCAAGAGAGGGGCTTACCCTGCTCCTCACCCCAACCCTCAGAGTGCTCATTCCCAGGAAGGAGGAAGCACCCTTCCAGAGCAGGCCTGGGGCCGGGAAGGAGGTGAGTGAAGGTAACAGTGTATGGAAAAACCCCACCCCCGCACCTGAGTGTCACCTCTCAACTCACTTGTCCTTTCCCTTAAATTCATATGCAACTTTCTCTAAGGGTCATTCCCCTCGGGTCTCCAAGAACTGCATTCTTTCTTCAAAATCATTGCTTAAACTGCCATTTCAACCTTGATGGTGACCCTAAGCCCAAAACCACCCATTCCCAATGGCAACCCTAAGCCCAAAACCACCCATTCCTATGACAACCTTAAGCCCCATGTCACCCATTTCAATGACAACCCTAAGCTTGATGCCACTCATCTCCAATGACAACCCTAAGCTTGATGCCACTCATCCCCAATGGCAGCCCTAAGCCCAAAGCCACACAACTCCTAATGGCAATCCTAAATCTAAGCACCCAGTGCCACCTGCTCTGCATGAAGAACTTCAGAATTATCCAAATTTTCCAGGATTCTACTTTAAGCCAGTTGTGTTCTAAGTTCTTATTGAAGAATGCATCCTACTAACTATACTGTTTGTCAGTGTGTACCTAAGGAAGTACTTGGCTTTTAATCATGTTTTATATTTTTATTAAAAGTGTCTAATGGGACCCATTTTAGAGATGGAGACAGTGAGGCTCAGAAAAATGATACAGGCCCTTCAGCCACCCAGGGATAGAATGAACAGATTCCTAACGTCATGTTCTGAATCTTCTGGAAGGACCATGGAGGTTTTTAAACCAAGTGATCCATCATCTTTCTGCAGCTACCTGATGGCCAGAGTCTTCCCATCCCTCCTATCATCCTGGCTGAACTGGGGAATGATCCGAAGAAACCCACTGTGTGCTTGTATGGGCACCTGGATGTGCAGCCKGCTCAGGAGAGCAAGGGGTGGCTCACGTTCCCCTACACGCTGACGGAGGTGGACGGTCAGTGAAATGCTGACTCCTCAGCACCTTGCTCATCTGTGGATAGAGCTTGCTCACAGAGGTTAAGAATTTAAAATGTGACTCTTTCCCCAGGCTCCAGGTCTTTCAGTGTCATGAAGACTGAATTGAAGAGGCGAGGATATAGCTCAGGGGGAGAGCACTTGCCTAACACATAGGAGGCCCTGGGTTCAATCCCCAGCACTCAAAACAGCAACTACTAATAAAAGGATGAACAGAAGCCTAGGGTGTAGCTCCATGCAGGAGCATTTGCCCAGCATGCACAAGGCGCTGGGTTCCATAGTTGGTTCATTGGGGCTGATTTTCTTTCATTTGTGAAAGAAACTAAGAAGTTCTGTGTCCCTGCATGGGGCCCTTGGGTGCTGAGGAAGACATTTATCTAGGTGAAAACTTTCCTTTTTTTTTTTTTTTTAAATACAGGAATTGAACCCAGAGGTGCTCAACCACCCAGCCCAGCCCTTTTAAATTTTTTTTATTTTGAGATGGGGTCTTGCTAAGTTGCTTAGGGCCTCACTAAGTTGCTGAGGCTGGTTCTGAGCTTGGGATCCTCCTGCCTCAGCCTGCCTTAGCTCCTGGGGTTACAGGCGTGCACCACCACACTCGGYTTCCCTTTCCTTTTTGTAAATTGAACTGTTTCCTTTCATTAGAACAGTATAATTATACATCGTAGCAGAGTTCAGTTTGACAAAATCATACATGCATGGAATTTAACTTACTCCACTTCAGTTCCYGGTTCCCCCTTCCCTCCCCTTCTGTCTCCCCCCTTCTCATTCCTCTACTGGTCGTCTTTTCACTGGTTTACTTATTTTTCATGGGTACTTTATAGACCAACATGCACATGGAATTAACTGGTATATTTACACATGCACATGGTGTGATGGTGTCAGATTCATCTGCATTTCCTCCCCTTTCCCATCCCTCCTCCCTCTATCTCATCCTTCTACTCCACTGATCCTCCCTTTACCTTTATGATATCCAGCTCCCTCTTTCCCCTTATTTTGCTCTAGTTTCTGCATATGAGAGAAAACATTGACCCTTGACTTTCTGAGGCTGGCTTATTTCACTTAGCGTGATGGTCTCCAGTTCCATCCATTGACCAGCAAATGCCATGATTTCAGTCTTCTTTATGGCTGAGTAAAAATAACAAGTATAACTTGTATTTTATACAGAAAGAAAGAAAGGCTGATAGAGACATACATACTTTTCCCCATTATCCTATCAATTGTAAATTCCCAGAGCACATGGCCACATCATGTGCTGCTCTGCGGAAACCTTGGCTTCCTTAACAAACTTATTATTACTGCTGAGGCCCCTGGAATCCATTTATTTAAAACTAGCCTATTCCATCTGACTAGCTGTTGATGATATTGTACATAAGAAATCACACCTTGCAATTTCAGAGGAAGATTTGTGCCTGGAATATTAGAAAGTATTGTTAAAATCATGACCCATGAAATCACATTGGTTTTTGACTCACTCAGCTTAGCAGAGGTGTCCATGCATCATTTTTTATTTTTTTCTCCTATTTTAAAAGGGAAACTGTATGGACGAGGATCCGTAGACAACAAAGGCCCCGTCCTAGCTTGGATTCATGCTGTGAGCACCTTCAGAGACCTAGARCAAGTAGGTGGCCAGCTGTGTGGACGGGGGAGAAGAGGGTGGTGATGCCCACTGTGTCCCTCCTGAGCTTCAGTGTGTGACCTACTTCCCTACTGTCACAGTGTGTGACAGTAGGGGCACTACTGTTACACCCTTCTACAGACGGGAAGAGGAAGGCTTGAGAACTTAGGGAAGGTACTCGGAGCGGCCCAGCTGGTGCAGTGACATACTCTGAGCATGGGTTCCAGCTGCCTGTCAACCACATTAGAAACAACAGAAACCGTGACRAGCCTGTGGCCACATTACTATCTGCTGTGAAGCTGTGAATTGTCTTTTTCTAAACTCTTTGTCTTTTTTTAACCTTCTTTTCCTTCATATCATAGAGTATGATTTTTAATAGATGTGTACATATATTTTTAAAAAATGTGTTAGATATTTTGTAAGTGATCAAGGCAGAAATCTGCCACCTGACGTTCTGTCTGAATCCTTCCCCCAACAGCTCAGATTGGTGTTAGGAAAGGACGGCCGGGAGCAGCTTTGGGGGGTGAGCCCACTCTTTCTGGCCACTAGAGCGCATCAGTGGTGGGTCGAGGTTTGTGTCTTTTTTGTTGTTGTTTTGGTACCAGGGATTGAACCCAGGGGCACTCAACCACTGAGCCACATCCTAAGCCCTTTTTTAATATTTTGGTTAGAGACAGGGAGTTACTTAGGGCCTCACTAAGTTGCTGAGGCTGGCTTTGAACTTGTGATCCTCCTGTCTCACTGTGATTACAGGTATGTGCCACCGYGCCTGGCTAGGTTTGGTCTTTAACTGTCTCATGCCTTGCTCTCACAGGATGGTTTTGTCTTCAACCAGCGTTTCCTCCTAAGGAATGTGCTTAGACTCCCACTGAGATCAAACCCAGCCACGTGGCTGTGGGCGGTGACTTACTCTCTCTGGGCCCTGAATTCTGTTCTGCAGAAGTGAGTCACTGATTTGGACTGTGCCCTTCGCTGCCACTTGACTGCACTCAGATGTGGCCTGTCTGGATGGTGCCAGCTGAGGTGAGGAGACTGGCCTCCTCACTCCCCACTCAGGGGATGTGGCCACCTGCTAGGGAGGATCTCTCCACTGTTGCGGGGCCAGCTCTGTGCTTAGGGAGCCTGTGAGGAGAGGAGGTGGCCTCCAGGCCAGGAATGGCGTGGGAGAGGGAGGACACTCACCTCAGCTCCCAGGGAGAGCCTCCTGCTAGCTGCTCCCTGGTGTTACAGTGGGGGATACGGAGCTCCAGGCCTGGCCAGAGGTCCTGGGGCTGAAGGGCAGGCTCCCAGCTCCTGGGGACTGCTGCCTCACCCTCCTCCACACAGGAGGAGCTCCGGGATGGGCCCAGATGGCCTCAGCACTCCAGGAGCATCTCTCCTCTGCCCGCACCCAGCTCACTGGGTGCCCATGACTGCATGTTCCTTGCTGTGCAGTTTTGACAGGAAGTCTGATGCCAGGGGTTTTAAATGATGGGATTGATATTTTACACAAAGATTCCCAAGTAGCTGATGTTGATGTTGTTCGGTGTGGTGAGGTCACAACAGTGACAATGTTGGTTTCCTGGGTGGTGAGACCTGCAGGGATTTAGATTTGATCCCACGAAGCATTTGTTCTGGTGCAGAAGGATTTTATGGTTTGGAGTTAACTTTAGAAATCCACAGCCTCTCTCCCTTCCCCTCATCTCACATTACTAATTGCATTTAGCACTTTCAACAAATAAATACTGAAGAAGAAAATGGGGCCCCTTTGTTGGGTTCATGGGCCAAAGAGAAACTGGCTCCGTTCACAGAGCAGACCCCGCTGGCCCTTCCCCAGAAGGGAACTGGTACACGGTTCGGAAGCAGAGGAGGTTGGGGTTCAGCCTTGTGGTCCGTCTCGTCTGTGCTGGGGAGAGCTCAGAGGAGGGCTCGGTCTCGGGGCCCCTTCCCACAGGGCGGGCCAACACAGGCCGTGCGGAGCAGCGAGCCCTGCCCAGGAGCCCAGGCAGAAGGCCCTGGTAGCACCTCTCCCACAGGAGGCCCAGCAGAGCAGATGCCAGGCTTCTCCTGCAGGAGTTTGTTTCTCCTGAGACATAAGCCAATGAGGAGGGAGGGGACCTCTCACCCCTTTATCTCACGGAGAAAGGCAAGGGCAGCAATTAGAACGTTTCTGCTGGTCCTGCTGATCACTCCAAAGCTGTCTTTTTACCCGCTGCACCCACTGAACGGCCCTGAGCCGTGACTGTGGCTTCTCTCCACCCTCTTCTTCCTCACTCACCTGCCTTCCTTCCTTTCATCTGGATGCCGATGTTTATTTTAGAATCCCTATATAAAGGTTTGATTTGGTTTTTAAATTTCAATTCTGAAAATTACATAAATATAACAAAGAAAACACAGGAAATATTCACTACCTGTGGACAAGTCCCTGTTCTCTCTGAGCCTCATGTTCCTCATCAAGGGGAACAAGGAACAGTTGTCCTGAAAAGATTAACTAAAGAAACATGTGCAAAGGCTCTGTGGTAGGATCAGGCCCTTCCTGAGGGCCTCTTTTCTTCTTGCCTACAGAAAACTTAAACACACCTTACCTCCTGGGGCCATCTCACTAGTGGCAGAGTTGGTGTTAATATTCATATTTCATGGGTAGAGAACTGAGTGACCTAGAAGTGACATGTCTGAAGTTTCCTGAGGAACACAGCAGACCTAACCTGAACCTGACGGCTGGCCCAGTTGTCCCCCAACACTTAGTCACTGTTGGTTTGGTTCATGTTTTATTAAATGTGACTTGCCAGCAAATTCTCAAGATTTCCAACTACATCTCGGTGATTGTGTGCTCTTGTGTGTTAATAAAGACCCTTTGGACATTTCAGAACTTCAGCACTCCTTCTTGAGATGCTCAGAGGGAGAGTAACACGTTAAGTAAATCATTATCCCCAAAGGCTCTTATCAGCAGGATGACGAAGGTCACCTATGTTCCCACACACAGTCCTGCGTTTGTGGGTCCCCGGAGCCAGTCCACCCGAGGACTGAGGAGCATGCACGTGTGCGTGGATCATCCACCCAGGGTCCCTGTTCCCGTCCTCCCAGCCTTTGCTGTGCTCTAGCAAAAGACCTTGGTCTCCTCTCTTAATGCGGCTCTCTCTCAAAGATGTGAAACTGTAAATTATACAGAGAAGAAGGATCAAAACTGGATGGGAAAGGGGGCATGTTGTAAAAGTTTTAAAGGAGCTGTTCTGTGCCCTAATATTAACTAGAGAAAAGCTCAAGCTCCTTTTCGCTGTAAGATCAAAGCCTTTGAATAAGTTAAAAGGCAGATTGAAATCATAGCTGAAAAATAATAGATACTGGAAAGATGATCCTGAGGCTTAATGATCTTTCAAAAGAAAAAAGTTCTCATTTTCCATATGCAGAAATGTGAGGGCAGAGGGCGATGTGTAATTGAGAACTTTCTTCAAAAGTTCCTTTTGGGGAGAAGGAGGAAAATGCTGCCCCCCAGAGCTCAGTAAAGCTCCGTGCTGCGGATGCTGCTTTTTCTCTAGAAATTTCTTCCTCAATTCCATATGAGAGCATTAGTGGACAGGCCACATTGGAGAGATGCACTAGGCCTCACCTAGCATTTCCCTCCACAGTTTAGGTTAGAAGGTCTTCCTGTGAACAGAGATGCTGGAAAGGCAGATGGTTCATATGTCGACTGTGAACAAGAATTCAGTGAGCCCAAGTTGGACGCAAACGGATCCTGGATGTTTAGACGACAGTGGGCAGGGCAGACCGTGGTTTCCTTCTCTGCGTGCCCAGGATCTCCCTGTGAATTTCAAGTTCATCCTTGAAGGGATGGAAGAAGCTGGTTCTGTTGCCCTAGAGGAACTTACCAAAAAAGAAAAGGACCGGTTCTTCTCCGGTGTGGACGACATCGTGACTTCAGATCATCTGTGGCTCAGTCAGACGAAGCCCGMGCTCACTTATGGGACTCGAGGGAACAGCTACTTCCAGGTGGAGGTAAGGGTGGGCAAGGAGCACAGAGAGAGGTATTTGGGGCTGTGGACAGGAGGGAGGAAACTGTTCTGGGAGGAAGAGGAAGACAGGAAGCTCTTATCTTGCATACAGCCTGGGGGCAGGGGCTGGGGGTCATAAAGGTCTTAGGGTTTCAGGATACAGTTATGAGCTCTCCAAAACTTGGAGAAGATAAGGCTTCTGTGCATTTTTTTTCCCCTGGGGAGGAGAGAAGATTGCTAGGGGTTTGTCACTCACAATCCCAAAGGACTAGTAACCGTGCTTGTGGACTGTGGTGGCAGGAATAGCAGCCCACAGGGTGGACTTCCTAGGTGGAGGCTGGGAATGCTGTAACACTACCATGGTGTGTGTCGGCCAGGTCTGGTGGTTACCACTGGGGTGTCCAGTTAGGGTCTAGGTCCTCAGTGTCCTGAACAAAGAATCGAGCAAGACACACAAAAGTAACAGGCAAAGTATAGACTTACTGAAGGTGAAGGTGATACTGGTGTTGAGAATCAGGTTCAAGCCCTGTTTCCCCTGGTGCTGAAAACTGACACCCAAGGAACACGGGGCAAGCGCAAGAAGTTTTATTTAAAGGATAGAACGGGGTTGGGGTGTCCTCCACAGAGGAGGAGGGGAAGTGCTTTGCAGGTATTAGCATTTTATTTCCTCTTAAATCAGCCCCCGTCTTCCTGACCCAACCATTCTTTACCTCACCAAGGGTCCCCCATCATCGCCAAAGTCGGCCTTCAGTTCATCCCCTCCCACCATCCCCAATCTCCTGGCCCCCAGCATGTTGCCATCACGCCATCCGATATTCTGGTCTGACACATATGTTTCTTCTTCTTTTCCCTTTTCTATTGATACAGGCAACCTGTGATCAGGCATATAATTTAGAATCAGAGTTCCTCCTGGCTAACTGATTGATGATTTAGCCACTTTGTTCTGTTTTCTCATATAAYGATATGTAGACTTATTAATTGACAAGACTGTTTAACCCAGGCAGTTGTGAGACTCGAATGTGACGGATCAGATGGAACGTGGTGCATTCTCTGCCTCAGGGCATTTACTGCTAGGAGATACGGGGGTCTGTAGAGATGACCCGGGAGTGAAAGAGAAACAGGTAGCAGGGATGTCTTATTCCAAACTCTTCCAGGAAACTTGGCTACGAGAAGGAGGAAAGATGGGTCAACAGCTGGAGGGAGCACAGAGCCCCCGAGAGCCCTAGGAGGCAGTGGGAAGGGGGAGAAAGGTGGGACATATTAATGAGAACAAAGTCCTTGAGGAGACAGGGCGAATGGGACCCTGAGCTAAGGAAGGCTAGAAGGTAGGTAGGGAGAGAAAAGTTATGCGATGTCTTTTTTGTTGTTGGTCTCCATTTTTTCCCCTGCTGAGTAGGAAGCAAGTGCACTTGCAGAGAAGTGACAGTCTGAAGTGGTTGCCATGGGGATGGGAAGGGGACCCACTAGAGCAAGAAGCGCCAGGCAGTGTTAGGGTGGGTGGCACCTGTCCCTGGATACCTTGCCACATCTGTGCTCAGTAGCTAGGGCCAGAAAAGGCCCAGGAGGGTAAGGTTGACCTAGGTGAGGGTGTTCCAGATGGGTGTGATAGAGGGCAGAGGGAAGCAAACCAAGGTGTGAGCCCAGAGAGGTGATAAATCGTGGCATTTAGGTTAAGAGGGGAAGATAGACAGGAAATAAATAGGTTGGAAAATCTTGGAAGGGTCAATTAACTGAATGTTCTGATGAGGACCAAGACCATTGGTAGTAAAGTAACGTGGAAAGAGAAGGGCGGGGTGAGAAATTGGGATCAGAAGGAAGGACGAGGCAGCTTCAGGTTTTGGAGGTGACACTATAAACTCAAAGTGCTTTAGTTAGTGTTACTGCCTAATAAAATAAAGTGACCAAACGGAAGACTCTTCTGGCAGCACATTAGGGATGGATTGGAGCAGGAGAGGACCAACTGGTCAGGAGGCACAGGAGGGAAGGTAATGAAGAGACAACTTAAAAATCCAACTGGTAGCTGATTGGGTTTGTGTACATAGGAGAAATCAAGCTGGTAGGATGTAATTGTAGCAGAAGATGTTGGATTCATTTCTAAATCTACCGAACTTTAGAAACTAGAAGCAGTGTCCCACTCAAGTGGAACACACTGTAAGCGACCAAAACTTTCAGGTCTGGGCTTAGATAAAAGTCAGACCTCCAGCAGGGAGTATGGAAAAGATGGAGACAGGAAATGATATCTGGGAGACCTCCAGGTATAGAGGAAGAAGCAGTCAAGGGTGGATCKATAGAGGTGGGAGGAACAACAGGAATTATTGGAAGAGACAGCAAGAGAATTGCCTACAGGCAGGAAGGGACAGAAGAGAAGAAAGTTCCTCAGAAACCAAGGGAGGGGGATTCTTCAGAGGTGATTGACGGTATGGGCTGAAGCCAAAAAGAAGTCAGCCGTAGAACATCAACGATTTGGCCGAGGAGAACCTGGTGATCCTGGTGTCAGTGGAAGAGTAGGGGACTGAAGTCAGCCTCCGGGGATTCAGGAAAGAGTGGGAAATGCAGAAGCAGAGAGTGGTAGAGTCTCCAAGTTACATGACTGAGCAGCACAAGCAGCGTGGTCAGGTCTGAAGGTCACCTCGCTGAGTCCTGAGGGACACCACTGGGGCATGCCTGCCACCAGGCAGGACCCAGCGGGTAAGTACATCCTTCTCTTTTACCTATTTCCCAGGTGAGATGCAGAGATCAAGATTTTCATTCAGGAACCTTTGGTGATGTCCTCAACGAGCCAATGGCTGACTTGGTGGCTCTTCTCGGTAATGCCTTATTTCATTTCCCCCTTTAAGCATCAAATAATCTCATCAAATTCAGTTCCGTTTGACTTTCTTCACCTCCCCTTCAGTTTCTGAACCAGCTCTGAAGTGGGTGTGGTACACAGCTCTCTCCCCTCGGCTGGCTGCATATTCCCTAGGCACAGAATTAAGACCATGCCATTTCTTCTCATGGAATCAAACTCCTTTCTTGTATTGGATATTATGACACATCCAGCCACATGTAAGGAAAACAGTGAGGAGACCACAAGGACCAGGAGACCGGGACCATCTCTGACTCCCCCTGAGGCTTCCCACACACGGGTGGGAGAGGGGCGGTGGTCCCAAGCCAGCAGCACCACAGGTCCACCTCAGCAGAGCAGGCATAACTTTTTGACTGCAGATAAATCAACAAAATGATGACCAAAGGGAAAGCCATCTCACAGGTGAGGCCCTTGACACTCTCCCAGCAGCCTCTTGTGTCCCACCACAGGTGGAGCTATGGCAGCCCTCCCCAGCCCAGGGGGCCATGCATCAAGCAGGTGGGTTCTGGGTGGTTGTGACTAGTTGTGTACCTGCTCTGCCACAGACCAGTTCCGTGACATTGGCAAGCTACTTAAGTTTTGGTTTTCTCATCTGCAAACAGGCATAATCCTAGACTTGCCTAGGAAGTGTGTTTTGAGGGCCCTGGAAGAGATTCACAGAGATCACTTCCTGTGGTGGCCGCAACAGGATGTCTGCAGGAGACTACTGATTTGCCAGCCTGAGGGAGCAGCTCTGACCTTCCCAAGGATTCTAGAGATGGTGCCAAGCATGCCAGCCTGCTTGGCTTCGTTTTCCAAGGTTGCTGTGGCCCCGACTGGCACAGGGATGCCAGTGTGTCGGCTGGCAGCACCCAGCATGGACCACTGCTCCCCATCTCTTGTGGGCAGACTGATATGTGTCAGCAGAAGGTTTTTCTCAGGAAGCCAGTTTGTTCAGGCTTGATCCAGTGGCGGCTCTTCCCTGCATCAGGGCTGCCCATGGTGGATTCTCTGGAAGCCAAGGAGGCTTCAGCTTCAGGACCCTCTCTTGCTGGCACTGTGAGGCACTCCTGGGCATCAAGACTGTTTCCTGTGGGCAGTTTTCAGGGCAGCATGGTCTACCTCCTGAGAATTTCCACCCCCCTTGGTGGAGGTAGCTGCAGAGACTCCATCAGTGCCCAGGTCCTGACTTCAAGTGCAAAGTGAGCAGGAGGGGAGGGGTCAACTCTTAATCGAGCCAATACCCTTGGTGTGAAAGAGCTGGGTGAGAACTAGCAGGGGCAGAATTATTTCTGCAGAGCACGGACATTAACCTTTCCTTGTTTCCCAATCACCAAAGGAGAAAAGGACCCAGCAGCACCCCACAGCTCTCCCAAGTCAGATTTCTCTGCAAGTGAATGAGAGGGAAAGGAAAATGAGGAAATGCTATATGTCCAMGGGCACCGTTCCCAAGCTGGTACTTGGAGAAGGGCTGTGCTGCATCCTGAAAAAATGGAATCATGATTTAAAGTGAAGCTGCTGACCACTTGTTGGGAAAGATGGTCCTGTGCAGATCCCACACTGAGGACATGGCTGCCACCCTCACAACTGGCAGAGCTGGGCAGCACCAGCTGCAGTGTCRGGGCAGATGTCACCGTTTAGGTTCAGAGTATGAACATGAGCATCCTGGCTCCTGGGGGCACTCTTGTCAAAACACTGCCAGGTTCTGTGTCGTGTTTGGCTACAGGGACTATGCCCTTGGTGTCCACTCATCCTTCCAGGTTTAGCTGACAGCCATGTGGCCTCATTGGCCTCCTGGTGACCCCTGTGCTCCTATCATTCCCTGTTATGGTTTGCATGTGAGGTGTCCCCCAGAAGCTCCCATGTGAGACGATGCAAGAAGGTTCAGAGGAGGAATGATTGGACTGTGAGAGTCTTGACCCAATCAGTGAATCAGTCCCTGATGGATTAACTGAGGGGTACCCGAGGCAGGTGAGCTGAGGAGGTGAGGCTTTGGGCTGTGGCTGGGGTGTCTATCTGTATCTGGCAAGTGGAGACCTCTCTCTGCTCTGACCATTACGTGAGCCGCTCCCCTCTGCCACACTCTTCTGCCCGGATGCACAGCCTCATCTCGAGCCTGAGGAATGGAGACACYGTCTATGGACTGAGACCTCTGAAACTGTGAGCCCCCAGATAAACTTTTCCTCCTCTAAAGTTGTTCTGGTTGAAACTTTTAGTCACATCAGCGAAAAAGGTGACTAAAACATTCCCCATTCAGAGCTCCCCTCCTTGACCCCGTGAACCCTGGGCCTGGGTCTCTAGGCTGGACCGTGGGCAGAGTCTGTGTCTTAGGCCTTCCCACAGCTCTGCCCTGACCTAGGACACAGGAGGCAGAAATGCCCCAGGGAAGACTGGTGATGGCATTATTGGTGGTGTTCTGATGGTTTTGGTGACAAAGAGAGAAGGGAGGCAGCAAAGCCTTAGCAGCCAGTCCCAGGCCCTGGGCAGCAGCTTCTTTAGACTTGAGTGTCACTCAGGGGTTGGGATGGCTTACTCCATGTACAGTGCGTCCCCTGGGTCAGCGGGGGTGCGGTAACACAGGACTCACAGCACAGTGGCCTGCGGCACGTCCTGTAGCGCGGTCACAGAGGGAACATAGTCTGGGGAAGCGCAGTGGGACCAGGAGAGGGGCAAGGAGGGGTTGGTGGAAATGGTGGAATTCCTCCCCTTCCCCTTCTGCTGACTTGGCGACTCATCCTCAGGCTGAGCCTCCTGTGGCATTCTCAAGGTGCCGGGAAGCCCACTGCTCACACCACCCCTGCCTGTGGATGCCGGCACGCATTCTCCTGGCTTTTCTGTGTCACACAGAGCCCAGAACCCTGGCCATCTGTCTGCTCATGTGGTTCACGTGGTTCCTCTGTGGTCAGAGACGGTGCCTCACTGATGGAAGGCAGGGTCTTGTGTTTCCGCACGTCCTAGCCTTGACCAGTAACTAGGTGTCCATGCCCAGGGGCTGAAGATGAGCTTGGGACTGCTCACCTGAGCTAAGATCTTAAAACGTAGTTTTCTCTGTCATGTTCCTCCCCCAACATGGTCTTGGAATCACAGTGAGAATATGAAATGTGTTATTTGTGAAGTGCCTTTACTTGAATAAAAGTCCCTAGATGAACTGAGGGTGAATGTAGCTGCCCCGAGACATTTTTGTATTATCTATATCAACCTATTTCCTGGTTGAATATTATCTTTGATAGGTGTTTTCTCCAGACAGTGAGCAGTATTTACTAAATCTCAGCATSTGCTTCCTTTATAGATATTTGTTGATGATTTTTTTCTAATTGATCCCCAAGCTTTTTAAAAATATTTTTAGTTGTAGATGGACATAATACCTTTATTTTGTTTATTTAGTTTTTTTTTTTTTATGTGGTTCTGAGGATTGAACCCAGTGCCTCACACAAGCTAGGCAAGTGCTCTACCACTGAGCCACAACCCCAGCGCCCCCACCAAACTTTTTAATAAACAGCAGTTTAGTGTATATACTTATTTATAATAAAGTATTTTGTATTTGTCATGGAGTAGACTTCAAGGATATTATGCTTTTGATTAAAAAGAAGTATTATATAATTCATGGGGGTGTAGGGAGAGAGTTGAGAAGGGATGATAGAAATGTTCAGTTTTTCATATTTATGTGTATGTATATATGTACATATATACATATGTGTATATGTTTTAAAATATRTTAAATGAACACATTACTTTTGAACTCAGGATAAGAGAATTTGAAAATTAACCTTGTTTATGATACAAACAATAGAGTTGAGAACTTGCACTTGACACAGGTGAGCCTCATCTGATTTAAGCTATTGCAGACCCATGGTTCCAGCCCTGCCTTTGATCAGGTGGACATAATAGCACACTTGACTCTGGCTGAGTCCACCTGGTGATCCGCTTTTTCCTCTGACCATTACCTCTTGAGTGTAATCGCTGCCAGTGGCTTTGGCTAGGAGGATCGGGGACAGTCAGGAGGCCAGCTGCCACCCAGGAGAGCTGTTGCCTGGCTCACTCCAGTGGCACAACATCAGCACAGTCATCACTTCTACCTGCTTTGTTTTCTCTGTGCGTTTTGTAGGAAGCCTGGTGGATTCCTCAGGTCATATCCTGATCCCTGGAATCTATGACCAAGTGGCTCCTCTTACAGAGGAGGAAAAAAAACTGGATGAAGCCATTGAAATGGACCTAGAAGAACACCGGAATACCAGCCAGGTTGAGAAAGTTCTGTTTGATACCGAGGTACGGCAACAGCCACATTTCCCACTGTGTAATTAGCACCAGAGGGCGCTAATCTGCATATATTAGAACCTAGTGATGCTGGTTCCTAGGCAGATCTGGACTTTCAYAGCTCTTTCCTATGCTCTGCACCAACCAGTCCTGTTTCTGGGATCCAGTAGGCATTGGCTTCAGGCACCCAACCAAGAACGAGGACTAACTACACTGCCATGCTTTTCCAAGGTAGTTTACTAACTTAGATCCAAGCCAGCCTGCAGCCGGGCTGCTGAGATTGGGAAGAACCTGAGTCTGCTCCAGCTCTAAGGCTAACCTGCATCCTGCCAGCCCCACCCCGGAGCCACAGGGACTGATCTGCAGGGCAACACTGCTTCCCCTGTGCCCTTGGGAAACCCGGAACCCCAGCCGTGGTCACTGGCCGACTTAGTTTAGCTTTTGTTGTTTTGGTTTGTTTCTCCTTCTCCTCTCTTTCTCTTTAAAATACTTACTAAGGTGTTCAGTAGCTATGGCTGATTCCTGGGGAAAGTACCAAGAGGGCAAAAACATGCTGGAAAACAGTGGGAGCGTTCACTGGTATGAGGTGGATCTCTTCCTCCAGACCAAGTCTGTGGTGCCACAGCTGGAGAGGAAGGTGGCTCTGGCTCTAAAGAGGCCTTTGAGGTCTTCTGAATGGTTGTGGGACAGGAGTGATCACTATCGTGATGGCAGATAGAAATTTATAATTGAATCAAATTTCTGAACAGGCCCTTTGTTGCCTATTAACAGCGAACTACAGAACCTGGGCAAAGAGAGGACCTTGGTAGTGGGTGGCGTTGTGGGCAAGGGAAGGCCACAGAGGAAGAGGAGCCCCGTGTCCTGAGAGAAGTCCGTTTGTGTTGCTGCTGCAGACACAGCTGAGTTAGGTGCTGATTAACTCGGACACGCAGGTGCTGCTGGGACACACAACCTAAGTCACTTGAGCCTTCACCAAGTGTTCTTGGATGCTTTTATTTCCATGTAGGAGGAAATCCTCATGCATCTGTGGCGGTACCCATCTCTTTCTATTCACGGGATCGAGGGTGCGTTTGATGAGCCTGGAACTAAAACAGTTATACCTGGCCAGGTGATAGGAAAATTTTCAATCTGTCTAGTCCCTCACATGAACATGTCTGTGGTGGAGAAACAGGTAACAAATGTCCCTTGCTACTCTGCCTGTCAGTTCCTGAGTCCCGCACACCACAGTACAGTGAGCAGTCGGTTGTTACCAGGGAAATATCATTTTTCTAACGAAAGAGCTGGAACAAATGTCAAGAACCAGCCTCAGCCTTATTTGGTAAACATCTTGTTCCTCAATTATACACAACTATAGYGGTGTGATAAATGACCATTTGGAGTTGTGGAGATGGGAAGTTTTTAAAAATTAGATGGGAGCTATAAAGGCAAGACTGGATCTGCCGGTAGATGGAGCAGTGACTGCCCATGGTAGGATGCAGGCAGAAAGCTCAGGCCCCATTGTCACTTTTCCCWTGATGTCTGAAGCAACAGTTTGAAGCAGCCATTTTAATGAAGATATCATTTGGAAGGAGTGACATGTCTACGTTACCAACCCATCATCACTTTGCCCCCAGTGAGTTTAACAGAGAGTGGAGAAGCCCCAGCCTGACCCTCAGTGGCTCTTCCCATCATCCTCTTCCACTGTCTGCTGGGCACTGATTACGTTCCCTGTGCCCTTCCCTCTGCACTTCCTGGCCCAGGGTGCATGGCCCCTCTTTCTACAGCTGCACCCCCGGGGCCGGGTCTTCTGTGGCTTGTCCACGGCACCTGGACAGTCCTGGGTGAGCCTGGGCATGCCAGGGGTGCTACACAGTTGCTGAAGGAGTGACTGGAGGGGACGTTCAGGATGGCCTTCCCTGGGAGGAAAGAGGCCCGGGGAGGGAGGTGCTGAACTGTCTCCTTCACAGTCTGGCTTGGCATCGAGCCCTCTCTTCAGAAAGTTCCCCAGATATTCACTAGAATGCTAGTAGATCCCCACACAAGGACATTCCAATCCAGCAGTTGTATCATGTTTCACAGTTTTCTCAGAAGTTACTAGAACACCACTAAAGTATCAGACGCTGTGGTAAGAATGGGGTGGGGACAGGCCAGGGGCTTGCGGGAGAGGGGAAGGAGGGGAAGAGCCAAGTGCAGCCCCGGGGGGAGCCCAGAGCCTCTTCTCAGGGCTGAGAATCCTGCCCTCTGTGTGGCACCCTCTGGAGTTCCCCGAGTCACGTTGGGATTTCAACTGATTCTTGAATGGGAGACTTTGTCCCCTGGGTGAGCGGAAACGGACGTTCTCTCTTACGGTGGAAACGCTGCCTTCTAGGCGAAGCAGCACCTTGAGGACGTGTTCTCCAAAAGGAACAGCTCTAACCGCATGGCTGCTTCCATGACACGGGGACTTCAGCCGTGGATTGCAGACATCAACGACATGCAGTATCTCGCAGCAAAAAGAGCCATCAGCAGAGGTGGGACCATAGATGTTCTGACTTGCCAGTTTACAGTGGAACCAAGGGGCCCTGCCTGTGGGACAGTGGATCAGCAGGCACTTCTGAAACTCAGGGGTTGGCTCTCCTTTGCATCTACCACCTATTATTGAAGGTGCCCTATGCACAGAGTGCTTCCTACCACTGTCTCGAGCGATCCAACTGCCTTCTCCATTTCACACAGGGGGAAATCAGGGGTTAAAGTGACTACGTAACTTGTTGAAGGGCACATATCTCAGCGGCAAAGCCAGGGTACCAGTTCAAATCTGGAGACCTGAATTTTAGGGAAAATGAGGGCCCAGAAAAACTTGAAACCCTCTTGAGGCAAAGATCATGGAAATATTGGCCGACAGACAAAAATCCTTTCAAAAACATTCCTAACCCATAGGAATGAAGGAAAATCCTTTGAGTTACAAATGAAAGAGAAGCCACAGTCTGGTGGAATAGGCCAGCAGACATACTGCCCTGCGGGCCTCTGCTCTCCCTGGGCAATAAGAGGCCAGCGCTGCGATAGCCTCAGGCCAGCAGGAAGCAGGGAGTGGGACAGAAACCCCCTGCACAAAGATCAGAATTCCCCCAGAGCCCTGTTCAACGCTGTGTGTCGCAAGCTTGACCTTCTGGTTTGTGTCCTGGATGAAAACAAAGACTCCCCTGAGGATTCCTAAGCATGGACCCATTCCCAAATATGTTGTCTTTCATTTCTGCTTTGGGTGTGGTCCAGTTCTTCCCAACCCACAGCTGGACCTCCTGACTGATGCCAGCACCAGACTGCCCTGGAGAGACACAGCCCCACGGGGGGCCATGAGAGACATCCAGGGAAGGGCTTCCTGGAGATGGACTTGTTGTATAAAGTCAAAACCCACGAGAAACCCAATGCCAGTCCATCCAGCTCCGAACCAGTGATCTCACAGGCCTCAATACTTCTCCGGAAGGCAGCATGGTTTTGTTTGGCGTTTCCTGGGTGGTGCTTATTTTAATTCTATGTTCTTCAAAGTCCTGGGCCAGACATATAGATGATGGGACAGCAGAGGGAATATGCCTGGGCTTTGGATGCCAGGACAGGAGGAAGAAATATCTAGTCTCGTTGGTTTCTACTGCCAGAGGGACAATCTGCCAATGATAGCAAAATGGGGGCCCCTAAACATGGGGAGAGTTTTGGGTGTCCCCTACAGAAAGCTGGGCAAACGCTGGCAAGTGTTAATATAGATCTATAGCCCAAAGCTATAGGTGGGGCCTGAGGCTACACCACTCTGAGAGGTAGAGCTGGAATTTAGAACCCAGAGCTCACTGCAGTCCTAATTCCCCAATGGTATTATCAGTTTAAGAGACATAGCTATGAAAATTAGAGAACAAGTCCAACACTTAGAGCCATATTTCTCTACATCATAATTCCTACTGCCTCAATTTAGCAGGTATTTTATTAATAAAAATTGAGAGAGAAGAGGAAGAAGAGTTAGGAAGGTGGAGAAGTTGAGTATTATGCCAGCTGAATAGAAATGTGTGTTTGAAATGTCAAGGTTAACGCCCATGAAAAGATCCCACATGCTCCTGATGAGTGCTCCTTTTGGTCAACTATGTGTGACCCAGTTCTGCTGAGAAGGCACATCACTTAATTCACTTTCACACCTTGCTTTGTGATTAAGAAAGAGGTAGCATATTCTCTTTCATTTCTTTGTTTTAGATTTTATTGCCAGTCAATCACAGGTAGTTCGTTCTCTGAGCTAGAGGGTTTGAAGTCATCTCTGTCTAGAACTGAGGGCAGCAGTTGAAACTATTTGATGTGATCCTTTGAAAATTGGGAGAAACACTGTGACATTCAAGTGAGAGTGGAGGACAGATATTTGTTTGTATATCTGTTACCAAAAAAATTACCCAAGAAAGTCCCACTTCCATAATATTTAGTTCATGAAGAAACTCTTAAAGTGGGCACATTATCTTGTGTCTTGCCCACAATTCATGACCTCTTCCAATGACAACAAAATATCAGGCCATCCCGAATGGAGGAGCGTCTTACCAAACAACTGATCAGTGGATTCTTAAAGAAGGTCAAGATCACAAAAAACAACAAAATATTGAGAAATGGTCACAGGTAGAAAAGATGAAGGAGAAGCAATGATAAAACACAGTGTGGGATCTGCACTGGGTGCTGGGAGGAGAGGAGGAAAGACGGTGGGGTCTGTGAAGTTTGGAGCAGGGTTCAGGACAATGTCAGTTTCCGGATCTTGATCATCGCACAACAGTTGTGTGTGTTAACATGCTGGAAAAGCAGAGTTAGGGATATATGGGACTGCTTTCTGTACTATTTTTATAATCTTCTGAATTCTGAACTTTTAAAAAATTAGTTCAAACAAATTAAAAAAAAGTTTTTTGAGTATGTAATTGTAAAGAAGGATTCCACAGGTTTCTTCTTGACTGCTTCGTTCATTTTAGAACACAAGTAGCTGATATCAAGGAGCTTACTTACCCTGGCCCAAAGCTAATGTTAAAAATGAGAAAGAAAAAAAAAAGAAAGATAAAGCAAATATCCCATTTGAGGTTAGTAGGGTCAGTCCTGTTATATATTCCACTGCCTTCTCTTTCTTGTGTTTCAGTGTTTGGAACAGAATCAGATATGATGCGGGATGGGTCAACCATTCCAATAGCCAAAATGATCCAGGACATCATTCAAAAGAGCGTGTTGATGCTTCCACTGGGGGCTGTCGATGATGGGGTGCCAAAGTCTTGGCTGGGCACAGAATCATGAGCCACTCACAGCTTTGTAGATTCAAACAGCAATTCTTTATTCCCGAACTCACACCGGCCTCTACACACGTTCAGGGGAAATCTAAAATCTGCCCACACAATTCACATCCCAAATACTTTCTGAATTCCAGGAGAACTCAACGGGAACTCAGGCAGCAGGAATGCCCTATTCCCAGCAGCAATAACCTTAAACCTGGAACTTCCTTAAACCCAGATTATCTTAAACCGGGAACGCCCTAAACCCAAGGAGCGGGATACTTCCTCAAACCTGCAGGATACACCTTAAACCTGGATCCACCCTCGTCCTTGAGCAGGGTCACCTTTCTCAAACACACATGCAAGGTCACAGCGGATTTCCAAGGCAAGTCCATTTAACATGGGGTACGCTGGCAAGGAAATTTCGATGTGTCATTCCTACTTGGCAATGGCCCTCAGCAATGGGGAACACTCTCAGAGTGAGAAGATCAACAGGTCAGCAGGTCCCTGTGTGGCCTGGGTCCTGCTGCACAAGCCCAGGGGTGCATGTGGTCAGGCCCCCTCTCCTTAGGTGACAATGGAGAACCCCATATGGGGTGGCTTAAGCATCAGACATTCGTTTTCTCGGAAGTTCTGGGTGAAGGTGCTGGTTGATTGGGTTCCTGGTTAGGGCTCTCTTCCTGGCTCTCAGACCACTGCTTTCTTCCTGTGTCCTCACATGTTGCAATAGAGGGGCGGAGGAGAGAGAGTGCCAAGGAGCCAATGAGCTCAGGTCTCTTCCTCCCTCCACGGGCACCAGCCCTGGGGATGAAGTTTCACCCTGCGGATGCAATGACCTTTATCGTTTTCTCTAAGGTCCCACTTCCAAATACAGTCACATTAGGGGTTAGGGCTTCAACAGGAGAATTTTTGGGGTCATGACATTCAGTCCATAACAAAGAATATTTAGGCATGTTTGACACAAACCTCCTAAGTCTCCTATACTAGTAAGAAACAAGAGCATGTGTGGTTCTGATATCCATGTCATGTTATCATGACCAAACAAAGGAAGAAAAGTGTTCTACCATTTAGACAGGAAGATTGATACAATATTTGGGAGACAATGGAAATGGTTTAACATGTGATTTAAATCACTCACCTTTCCAAAGTCCCAGGTGCCTTCACCTTCATTTCTCTGAGTCCTGTACAGTAGTTCCAGGACAGTTCTTCAGTGAATTAGACTCTCACCTTGCAATACAATGGGCATAATCCCTCCACTTTGCTTTCTAGGTTCTGAAACACCCATGACACATAATTGTTCCACCCAGTGATTGTTAGCACTTACATCACTGTTGCTCTGACCACAGTTTCCTTTTATCTTATCAATAAAAATGTTGATCTCCACCACTGACTACCATGATTTCCCTGTGGGTTCATTTTTAGAGGAGTTACTAAGGCCTGGTGCTGTTTTAACCCCTTTCCTCCCCTTCATTTATTTTCTCTTGCTTTGTGAAAAGTTCTGAAGCTGAAATGATTAAGATTCATACCCTATGCCATTTGGGATTCCATGTGCAAAGAAGAGTTTTTCTCTTATTCTGAGCTTCTTTATCTTCACCGTGATTGATGCCATCTAATCAGCTCCCCTGCCTCATATTCTTCCCACCCTGTCAGTAAAGGTTCTCTCTCTAACTTTTGYACACAAGTACATTCACCATAGCAAACTTAATCCTGATGGAATTTCTCTCACTCCATTGGAATTTTACTCAATGACTACATTTAWATTGCTCAAAGCTTTTAATAGCATCAGTTTTAGATAGAGAACTAATCAACCCTGACATCAGTAATACATTCTAAATTTAAAGCCATCACCTAATGCAGCACTCATTAATCATTTTAGTTAACCATCTTGTTTGACTTGATTGGGTTTGATGATGTAAACACAAAAAAGGAATGTAATTTTTATAGTCAAATATATGTAAATAAATCAATTCAATATTTATAAATTCATTATCTAAATCACATTAATGGTGAAGAATTTAAGGGTTTATTTAAAAAGTGTTTCTTTTGTGATTCCAAATAAAAACAAAATATGACACATTTTCCTTCAATTTTTTTCCATTTCTCTGTTGGTTCTCTAAATGTAAGTTTTAAAGCTTGCTGCATCACATTAAAGATGACTGGGCCATGTGGTCAGTGACTCAATTTATCCTGACCTAGTGACAGAAATGGGATTGAACTAGGAATATCAGTCTTTTCAGGGAAATTTATTAAGGATTCCAGTTACGGTTTGCTTTGGAAGCAGAGAACTTCCAACTKCCATATCTTTTCTGATGCTGGGGAGCATCAACCCTGCCTGCTATTTTGTGGTATCAGGCACAGTTTGTGCTCTCCAGATTATGCTGTGCTTAGTGGTATTTTAGGTTCTGTTGGACCTACCCGAGGTATTTTACATTGTCTGAGGACTAACAAAGCAAAAGATTTATGATATCAATTTATGTTTTGTAAAAAAAGTGTTCATATTGATCAACTGACAAAAGTTTATTATAAAATGTTTTATAACCATTTCTGGGCAATGTAATATCCATTTGATGAAGTCATTAAACAATAATATGTATTTACTTATTCCTGTTAAATCTCTGAGACCAGTAGTGTCTCTGTTAATTATTCAATCACCAGGAAAGAAGGGAAGGAGGATAGTTAGTTATTGAGTGTGTTGAACCTGGAAGATTCAAACCCTGGAGTGTCAGAGTCCAAAATTCATGTTTTGCTGCCACCCAGGATCAGGATGGGTCTCCCTAGTTCTCCTTTCCTGTTTTTCACCCAGTTCCAAGCCTCATAGCTCCCCTGGTCTGGTTGTGATATGTGGGAGCCATAAAAAAAAGGTTAACTGAGTGTTACATCCAGAGAGATGGAAAACCTCCTCAGTTATTGATCAAGCCAATTTTCCAGTTATAAGGAGGCAAAAAGTTGGGAGAGAGACATTTAAACATTGGTTTAAAAATTTATCCAAGAAATAAATGCACATGGGTTAAAATGACCACCCAGTCTTTTTAGGGGTATGTTGTGACGTATCAATGCAGGAGGGGAACTTGACTGTACTGGAGGAGGACAAGGCATCTAGTTTAGTTGGTAGAAATAGTGTGCTGACATGTCACTGTTGTGATGAAGTTTAAGGATTATGAACACCAATTGTAGATGCTGTTGCATAAAATAATGGTGACTGGGAATATTTTTGGTTTTGTTCTGTATTGAAAAATAAAATGCAATGGCTTGGAAGCCTTGCTCAGGTGTCTGTCAGACAGTTTGARAACACTGGTCAGTGACACCCTTACTCGGCACTTGAGTTGGGAGAGGGAAGTGAGCCACAGACACATTGAGGATGGTTCTAGGCGTCTGCTCACTGGGCCCTCATTCTGGGTGTGCTCATCACTCCCATGGCCTTTGTGTCACATGAATGCTCATGCAGTCCCCTGTTCTGAAAGCCAGACCCACTGATCCTTCTTGCCTACTTCGTATCTGAAACACTTCTCTTCCTAAATGGAAACCTCCACCCATCCCCATATCTGTTTCCTCTTTGGGGGTCCCCATCTTGGCAACTGGGCTGTGGGCAGAATTCTAAATCTTCAACACCTGTCTTTCTCAAGCCAAKATACTATCAAAACCAACTATCAACGCCATAAGCCAAAACTTCCATAGCTTTTGCTGGGTCATTGCAAAAATAGCCCCTCTGCTTACTYACAGTGCCTCTCTACTGCAGGGCGCACTGCCGCCGCGGTGTCATTGTCAYCCATCCCTGGTGACCATGAGGTCTCAGGATGGAGTCTGAGACTTCAAGAGGGTCTCTAGGACTGTACAATCTTTCCTTGGCTTACTCTTCTGGCTTYGCTTTTCCCTCCTAGATACCCCATCCTTCCAATCCTTCTGGTTTCTCAAGAGCTGCCTGAGAGCCTGCTCTGATTCTTCTCCCCCTCCTGGAACACTCCTACTGCCTTATGGGTCTGGCTAATATTCCCAACACCTCGTTATTCTTCAGATCTCAGCTTAGATGTAACTTTTCAGGGAAATACTTTGTTTCACCCCAAGTTAGGTGTCTCTATTATGCTGTCATATTCTCCTTTGTTCCTTTACAGCATTTATTATAATTGTAATTAAGCACATATTTGTACCATTTTAAAACTGCCAGCTCGCTTGCTAGAGTACAAAATCCTTGAGGATAGAGAGCATGTTTGTTCTGTTTATTGTGGTATCTTCAAAATTCTAGATATATTTATGTCCTCAGGAAATGTGTGATGAATGAAGATTTCAACACCTGTACAATCCATCTGCATGCTTTCTGGAACTTTCATAATTTTTGTTCATTTACCCTTCCCTTAGTCAACTTTCAGCCCTACAACACCAGAATCTTCCCTTTCCAAATGAGAATGCCAGGCACTCAGCAGAGTACGCTGCACACAGTAGGTTCTTTGATGCTGAACACAAATATCTTGATCCTTCTGCTACAGCTTTTGGGTCCATCTCCTCCAGGGCTGCTCCCCCACCCTGGACTCTGTCTTTGTTCTCTTCTTAGTTTGAAATGTTCTTGAGAGCAGTTAGTTGTGGAAGAGGGGACATACATCAGACCATGCAGAGGTGTCCATGCTGTTCACTGTGCAACTTTCCCAGGCAGGAGCAACAGTTTGGTTCACACAGGCTGTAGACCAGCACTCTGTGAGCCCTACATGGACCCCTGTTTGATGTGGCCTTTACAATGTCCAAAATAATTTTGAATCGAATGCCAACATTGAAAGACTGGCAAATTTTACGCACATATTTCTCTGGGGTAGTCAGAAGATTGGGTAACACTGTTCTGCCATTCCTCCTGGGTGACAAGTTGGGCTGAGGAGAGTGTGCAACCTCTMAGTATCAAGAACCATGCATAATCCATAATATGAGCTCCACAAATTTCTTAGAAGAGGAATAAGAAGTTCATGAAAGAATATAAATGCTATTCTATCTGAATTCGCCTATTGATAGCTACTCTTACTTAAAAACAAATTCTCTCAAGCT